CAGACTAGTAATGTTTAAAGATTACAACCCTACCAAAGATTTTGCATTATTATGGACCAGTATGTGCACAAAATGATCAACTCTGCATTTGCCGCCTGAGGCAGACACTTCACTCAAGGTTGTGGGAGGAAGCACTATTGTTACATAGCACAGGTTCAAAGATGCTCATTTTAGATCAGCAGAGGAATTCACACTATAGTTGAAGGGTTCCTATGGATAAGGAAAAAAAAACAAACACGCATACACTTCAGTCTCTAGAGATAAGTCTGCTATTAGGTAACTGCAGTCATTTTCTATATTTAATAAAAGCCTTCTTGTTTTCTGCAATATTGCATACATACAGCTCCTCAAGGTGAATTATTTCAGGAGAAAGAATGAAGTAACAAATCTGAACGGCTCTCAGACTGATGCTTGCACTTACTGCTTCCCAAATGAAAGAGATGACAGTGCCAGACTCTCTTTCAGTATAAAATGCAGTCAGTTGTACCGAATATTTTAAAGTGCCAAAAATAGAAGCTTGCTTTGTGGAGGATAAGGGCTGGCATCAGCTGCAACTAAAGCATTTGTTACGGTTCATAAAATTGGCAGAAATTACTCCATTTTCTTTTTTAGAACACGGAGTATTTTTAAGCAGCTCTCCTCTCATAAGGCTTTTCCCTACTGTATTTATTTAAAAAGTTCATTAGCATATTAGACTTAGAAATTATTATCACAACATATCTTCTTTTGCACGTAGGTCAGTTCAAATGTAATGACCAATACCAGTTTTCCTTGTTCACAAAACAGTCTGAGCTGCAACTTGGTAGAAGACAGGCCCTCTTGTGACTGACGGAGAAAGGCAGAGAGGACGTGGCAGCAGCCTCTAACCTATTATGAGGCTTCAAGGTGAGGTGCACAGAGTGGAACAGCGTTAACTGTTAGCATCTTCAGGTCACGCTGCAAATGCATTGCATCTGACAGAAAAGGGACACCAAGTTTAGCAAAAGGCAGGAGCAGGCCTCTCAAAGTCCTGCAGGTCTGTTTCAATCAACACACAGCAGCCACAGTTATCACAGGTCTCCATTTATGCTCCACAATGCTGACGCATGTCGCTCTGTGAGGAGCAATAACTACATTTTAGCAACCACAGGGACCCCAGGGACAGCCTTACACATCCGTGGTTTCACATCCCAATCTCACGTTGCTTACTGCTCGATGCCAGTGTACTTTCAATGGGTTTTAGGACTAGGGGAAGCTTAGATCCCACTACTATGGGGAAAAAAAAAAAAAAAAACAAACGAAAAGGAGCCCTCCTGATTTTTCTAGGGTTCACTTTCACTTAACTAGATTAAAAGAACTACCATGTCCACGTCAAATCAGCAGCACAGAAAAAAGCACCCAGGCAGATCTGTCATTAACTTGCAAGTAATGAGCCTAGCTTTGACGGTGCTTGAAAGGAACACAGAGGTTTGACAAAGCCTTCCATCAAACTGGTAGATAAAGGAAAGAAAATGAAAATCATCTATTCACTCCACATTCCACAGAGCACATGGCAAAATTACTTAAACTTTCAAAACACTGTTAATACAGGAGTTAACAGTATCATACTGTTCTTCTAATAGGGCTTTGGAAAAAAAAAACCAAAGCCTATATGTTGTACATGTGATACTTTTTATATTTCATACAGGAGATACTTTAGAAGTTCTATAGAACTTCAGATTGCTGCTGTTTTCTACATAGTACCCCTCTGCTTCTATTTAAACTAACATGCAGAGGAGAAGCACAAGTAACTCTCAGTTGGCAACCTTATTCATCCCAGTCTTGTTAGGCACCTGGTTGACAACACCTACTAGAAGGTGGATATTATGGACAGTCGACAAAGCTCCAACTTGTACTAGTACAAGAAGCTGAGAAGAAAATGGAGCAATTAATGATACAAACAATAGTATTCAATGAAACGTGACAAGAACTCCTCTGCGAGAAAGGAGAGAAGAGACTGAAAACAACTGAACTCTACACTGTCATGGAAAGATTCCGGCAATTCCATGTTATTATATTACAATCTACACTAGTAAAGAGAAGGTCCCTTTAAGAAGGTGCAAGTCTTAATAAATTGCAAGACTAGAGTCTCTCTCAAAGCACTAGTGAGTCCAGGCTAGTAAGTATTGCAGTGGATTGATTTTGTTAGACCTAAAGGACCATCTTTCTTCATGCAGCAGAGATTAACATTCATCAAAACTTTCACTGAAACCTTCTATCAAAGCAAATTCTAATTAACAAATGAATTTTAAAATCATATGGGAAAAAAGACCCACATAAGTTATTTTCAAGTAAACATCCAGAGTGCATACTGTACAGGTTATTTAAATCTTTGCTTTCCTCAGCAAAGCAGTTTGTTCTGTAAGCTGCATGACTACTTCAATGTAAAAAAAAAAAAAAGTCACATGAAAGATATAAAAAAACATCAGAGAATAAAATAAGGAACAACAATACACTGCTACACACATAAGCCTGTATAGAGAAACACAAGGGAAGATAACCAGTACTGAATTACCCAAAAAAGGATGATAGCCACAATCCAGTTAAAGAAAGGTTTGCTTACCCATCCCAAGGATCAGGGCTCACTGAATTCTCCACAAGGAGGGATCTCCTGGAAGAGATCCCTGCCTTATGGCAACCAGCCCTTACATGAGGCTTAAGGAGGGGTGGAGCCAGATTCCAGGCCTTCTGGTTGCACAGATGAATTGCTTTCACCTGTGCTCCCAGGGCTGGCTGTGCCCTTTCACCAGGTGCTCAATCACTGTTTCAGGCTGTGATTTAACAATTCCCATACAACACTGACAATCCTGAAAAAAACTGTAATTTAGATTTGTTTGTTTGTTTTAGCATTTTAGACTATTTTAAGACCTCACAATCACTTCAGCAGATGCAAACAAAGCCATAGGATGAGGTTGGAAATTATTATATTTAATAAGAAAAGGGGTAGATAAGTATTAAAGACTTCCATACAAACAAAGAAGTCTTTATTAAAAAAGAGAAATCATAAAGACACTAAAAATTTCATGTTATTTCTAAAAACAAATATTTCTAAATTGTCAGGGTATATATGAAAAGCAAGCAAGCAAAAATTTTAGCCTTGCTCAGCTATTATTTCTCAGCATACAAGTCCCATGAGCTGCCCCAACTCATGCAAGCTGGCTTATCGTTAACACTTCCTGAAAACATAGACAAGTCATTGGACTCGTTTAGGTTGCCTAGATGCAAAAGAATCCAGTTACTTACTTGGTACTGCAGTGACTGACCATAAAAATTGTAATAGTGAAACTTTAATCAAAGTGGAGATATTTATCACCATGCCTGGTATGAAGAAAGATGAACTGTACTACCTTCAAAATAGACTGGGAAACAACCTACTTTACACCTTCATTCAGTTAGACCTGATAGGTGCATGAAGCAACTTAGCCATCTGCCTGACAAGGAACACAGATGCACCTGGAATACAAATAAAACAGTAAATTCTATCTGCCACACCTGTCAGGTATGCATTCTGTCATTCCATGCATACCTTGCATTTTTGTACAGATGATCATGGTTCAAAAAACTGGGGACAGACAAGATGATATTAAACCTTACTGATTTATTCCTTTCCTCCAAAGGGTACAGGTGAGAACAAAATGGGTAAGAAATGGGATCCACCAACAATAGCATCAAAAGCCTCAGCTTTTCTACAGATTCTAACACGTTAAATGGCAGTAAGTGATTTTCTTGTATAAATTGCTCCTGCATAAGTACAGTGATTGTACTGGCTTTGTAATGCACCAAGGGATTTAGACACACTCATACAAATCTTATTATTTAAATACTATGTGATAGCACATGATTGACTGGAGCTGTTGGAACAAACAATACCAAATGTTTTAAATTATGCCTTTAAAGGTAATCTCATACTGAGGATATAAAAAATAATGTTGAAGGAAAAAGTGTCATGAAAGCAAGGATTTACTTGCTTAGTGTATGAGAAGAGCACAGCAATTCTTACAAGCATAGCAATTTAAAATGCAAGAATTGCAGACTGTAGGTGTAGGGTCAGAAGGCCCAGAAAAGCAGGTGCTCTTTCAACATGCTGCTGCATTCTCCAAAGCTGTAAGGGGATTTGGATGCTCAATTCCAATTAACATTTCAACCTGAAGCAGCTCCAAGAGCTCCACTAAAGTAGCATCTGAACAAATAAAAGTTTATGTACGTTGGGTGTATTTCTCATCATTTTGCAAGCATGGTTTGAGTGTATTTAAGCTTGATTTTCAGCAGTGCTACAGGCCAATAATTGTTGCCCACATGCAAAAGCTGCTGTCTTCAGCAGTCTCACTTCTCAAGCACAAATGCTTACAATCAGCTTTTCACTATAAGGCTGAAAGAATAGCATAAATGATCACTTTTGCAGAAGATAATTTATGGCTTCATTTTTCATACAGAATCAGGCATCTAGATGCATTATGTTATACAAATATGTATTTTCTTAACTATGTTTCTACTACAACAACCAGCATACAGGCACTCACATGAACATTTTCAATGTCAAGTTTTGGAAAAATGCATTCTCTTTCATGCAAACCTTTCCCTGAAAACTTGAAATAAGCAGAGCTGTTACCCAATATTCTACCACAGAAATGTTATCTTGCAGGGAGGACTTGGGATTTCAGGATCAAGCCTCCACAGCAGTAATACTTCATTACAAAGATTTACTGTTAGCATTCCAGTTTGACAAGAGCCTGCTATTCAGGTAGGTTATATACACTATTTTAAAAGTAGTATTTGTAAAACAGGTTCAGTGCATTTCACTAAAAGCAAGATGCTACTACGGAACTTTAAAAAACAAAAAAGACCACACACAAAAAACAGAGAAACCAAAGAAGTGATCAAATAAAACAAGAAATAGGAAAACAGAATTTAAAAAATTCACCAATATTCAGAAGCAAAAGTAACAGCCAATCTTGTAAATGAGTTCAGTTTGGTTGCATTACCTGTCGACTTCCCTGCTTAGAGGAGCAGCTGCTAGTGCTTCTTGAAGGAGACAACATTTTCTGGGATACACCAAAGTTTTTTTCTTCACTCATGATTCAAGGTCATTTATTTCACATCAGCTCACTTAGAATGTCATTAAAAGGTAATTAAGCAAATGTATTGGAAGACTCCTGAGAGAAATGCAGAACACATCCTTTACCCAAGTGCATTCCAGTAGCATGATCTGCATCCCATAGAAATTCCTAAAATGAAAAAGAAAAAAACAAAATGCCAAATTTATACAATACAATCTTTTACTGCCGTCCCATAGAACAAATCATGAAATCATAATATAGCCTTTGGTAATGCAAGCTGACAACATTACTATACACTACTAGAAATTAACAGAAAAATTACTTCACGATAAATTTTCTATTATCTAACAGGACTAGCAAGAATTACTTAGTATTTATGCAGAAGACAAAGTGCAGCATCAAACATCATTTTTAAGACTTAAATTCATAATCCAATGACAAAAAGAAGTCTAATAAAGACACAGAATACACCAAATATACAAAAAAAAGATCAAAACATTATTGAAATGAGGAGAAAGCATCTAATGAAATGTCTCACAAAAAGGATGTTAATTAAAAAAAAAAACAAACATTTTTCCAAGTTATTTGATAATTTAAACAAGTAAGCATGGCTTCAGATTGTAAAGAAAAACTAACATACAATGCAAGCAATACACAGAAGTAGAGAGCTATGCACAGCTGTTCATGACTACTCTTACCTGCAATCAAAAAGTTGTAGCTATTGTCACATCACCCACCTAACTCAGTGACTGGAAGAACAACCAGCAGTCTGTTTAACAACAGTGCTGTTTGCAGCATGTGCAAACAAAACCCAAGCCAGAAACTCCTAATAATGGATTTCCAGTGTGGGCAAGAGTTGTCATGGTAACAGCACTTTTTTAAAATGGAACAGAGGACATAACAAAAGGGTAATGCTTTACAAAACTTGGGGTGGTGGAGGAGCTTTATGAATTGTCTCTCACTTCAGATTTTATTGTCTTGGGCAAGGAATTCACACAGGAGAAACAGTGCAAAACCATCACTGAGGAACGTAAGACACTTCCACAGGTAAGAAAAAATTAATTTCCAAAACAGGGAGGCATTACTTCACAACCCACCTCCTTGCTTGCACTGTGAGAAAAGCCCTGAACTAAGCTCACTGGTTGTTGAGTTATCCATTCTTTTTTTCTTGAAGGGTCACAAACTCCTATTCAGAGAGAAGTAGTATTTGAAGACCTCTAGCAAAATATTTTGTTTTAAAAATTCTAGTTTGTCTTAAGAACAAACAAGCAAAAAAACCATGACAAACTGGTGCTGCATTTAAGACAGCAACAACACTATGTTGGAGTTGACCATGCTCCTAAGTGTTGTAGTCTGTGGTGTCCAACTTCTGAACAAAGACATTTTTCAGCCTACACTGCCTCTTCTGCAATACAGCTTGCTGTGACAGTTCAGCCAGGTTACTCTCTTTTTAGCTGGTCTCTCAGCATTTATTTTATCTATTTAGCAATATTCAATTACCCCTAGAGTAGATCTATGCAAAGTAACAAACCATAGAATCATAAAGGTTGGAAAAGACCAGTATGATCATTTAGTCTAACTGTCAACCCACCCAACCATGCCCACTAACCATGTACCTTAGTGCCACATCTGCATGGTTCCTGAACACCTCCAGTGACAGTGACTTCACCTCCTCCCTGGGCAGCCTGTGCCACTGCAGCACTGCTTTTCCTGAGAAGAAATTTTTTCTATATCTAAACTGAACCCTCCCCCACCAGTACAACTTAAGGTCATTACCTCTCATCCTATGTCTGCTACCTGTGAGAAGAGGCTGACACCCACCTCACCACAACCTCCTTTCAGGTAGTTATAGACTGCTATATGGTCTCCCCTGAGCCTTCCCTTCTCCAGACTTGAAGTGTGACCTCTAGTACTGTAGAAATAATCTCCAGTTTCCAAGAATCAAATGAGAAAGCAAGCTCTGCTAAGGCTGTTTCACAAAGCCAGTGATCATGATGCAAGAACCTAAAAGAAACAGAACTGCGCAGTGATGTGATAACAAGACCTGATTTAGGCCTTGCGCACAAGTTTTGTACTGAAATTACTGCTGAGATTAGAAGCTTGTGCCTTGGAGAAGGTATGGACTTTTCCCATCTGAAAGATAAATTTCTGTGTGACATTTCACCAAGGACTAATTCTCCTAAAAGGTTTAAGCCGTTGAGAAAACATAAAGCATAACTTTATTAATTAGTTTCAAAGTGCATTTAGTAAAACAGTTTAATGGAATATCTCTATTTATGAGTAGAGATCAAACACTCACGATAGGAACGTAAAAAAGCTTTCTGTAAACTCATAGTTCAAATATTCCCTCAAAATTGCCACACAGCAAGAGTTTAACTAGTGTTCACTACTCATCCAGATGCTAACATGGTCCTCTTCACTGTTCCATGTCTAAAATGACTAAGGTAATCAATATAGCACCTGTTATTCATTGTTCACTACATGACATTTTGGCAGAGATTGGCACAATTGATGAAAAGAAACAGGCTCTAAATCGTAGCAAAACGCACTTCTTGTCATCAGTACCTCATGAGCATATGCCCAGATAAGCTAGATTACAAGATCCCCTTTGTCCATCTGAACACTCCAAAGTGGTTGTTACACCCTCAAAGCTGAAGATAATGGAAAAATAAAACGGAGGTCTCACCAGTGTTAATACAAAAACATAATCAGAAGAATCACAGAATCACAGAATTGTAGGGGATGGATGGGACCTCTAAAGATCATCTAGTTCAATCCCCCTGCCAAAGCAGGCTTCCTTGACCAGGTTGCACAGGTAGGTATCCAGGTGGGTTTAGAACATTTCTATAATCATTTCTTTTCTGTAGAATCTAAAAAAAAAGAAAAAAGCGTGGCTACATTTGCATTTCAGAACAGATTGGAAGAACGCTTATTCTGCAAACCTCCTCATTACCACCTCTGATCATATTTTGGGTTAAACTTAGGACAGTCTTAGAGTATGGACACCAGATTCCTTTTGGAGAAAGGACAGCAGATGTGCTCCAGGAATGCATCCAGTGATCACAGCACTTTGTCCACGGCACCAGACTCAAGCTCATCCTGACCAGTCCTATCTCAGTGCCAATGTGTGCCAGCTCACCACAAATGACTCACTTGAAAAGGCCCACTTTTATTGCACTGCTCTGCTCACTAACATTGATATGGTCTAGACACAGACTTTGGGCACTCAGCCAAGCACTTCAGATCTCCTTTGGCAAAGTCATTTGTCTTTTTGTAATCAACAAGAGAGGGGCACGTTTCCAGAATTCAAATGAGTTGACTCAGCTGCCTAACCCGGGGTCCCGATGCAAAGGGTGGGAGACAGGTAGGATAAATCTGACAGAGAATGCCCAAAGTATTTCGAGAGTCTACTTCCAAAATAGGGCTTTCCAATTTTCTTGTATTCCTTTAAATTAATTTACTACATGGACAAAGGCTTGTTTTTTTGTTTTTTTTGTTTTTGTTTTTTTTACTGGCCCAAAAGACGGCAAGAATGATGTGTGCCATTTGTCCAAAGTCTTATTAATATTTTATTAATGTTTCACACTAATTTAAATTGTTACCTCGGGAATTCCAAATCTGAACATGAAATTATATATGAATACTGAACATGACCCCAATCCATCTGTCAAAACTGCTGTGTCCTCCAGCAACTGTTTTGTGTTCCTTTTTGAAATTCCCTTCCAGCTCAGAAAGAAAAAAAGAAGACATGGCTGCCCTTCAACAATAACCAACTCAGTGCTTCCAGAAAGGTGTAAAAAAACTGATCCTGCATCCCAAATAGACTCTCATATTCTGTCTGCCAGTAGCAATGACTGAGCCTTTCTAGGATGACTCATATTTTACATTACCTGGAGAACTGAAGTCTACAAAGGTACACGAGCAATTAAGACTTTAAAGCAGGCATAACAATCAGGATTATGCAAACTAAGCTAAAATTGCAGCAGACTCTCATGGTTCGAGGTCATTACGATCCATTTACTTCAGGTTCACTGCTTTCTGCTCCTCCCCATGCCACAAAATGACATTGGAACTAATGATGCTTGTTCCCACCTATCCTCTGAAGCATATAGCACTTTGTTCTGTTCCAAAGAGACAAATCAGAAGTGCAAGGCTGAGGCAAATTCAAATACATTTAGGACAGGAATTTTCACAAGTGCTAAGTATTGGCCTAATTCTTCTCTACTGAGTCAACTGCAGCAAAAGTAGGCCAAGACTGCTGCAGCAAATGACCTCAGCAGGTGCACTTTAAAGAACTAAGAAAAGAGAGAGTCAAATATTATTTATAGCTACTGTATCTTAAACCCATAAACAGCACTTTCCTGAACTTATTATCTGTTTCTAGGAGACTTATCGTTCAAAATCCATTAAGGCAATTGTAGACGTATGTACAACAGAAAGACTTGAAAAATATAAATGTACTGTCCTATGCTGTCCTAACTTGCACTGGTTCAAAATGACTTCTCAGCATCATAACTCACTTCCAGCAATTCTCAAAGCAATAAGCTTACAACAAAATCCCATGTCTCACAAAAGAAGAAAGGCAAAAATTTAGAAAATTCTGGAAATCTGCAGTACTAAATTAACATTATGCAATTATTTTTGTTATGGCTTTAGAAGAAAAAGACAGCTGTTTCAGAGCTTAATCAACATCAAAAGTACATCTCATGCTATCACTGTAGACAGTAGAGATTTTGTGGATAGAAGAACAAGAACAACAGAAAGTCTGATGAAAGTCATGTAGACACAGCAAGTGCAAGACAGCAATCTAAGTCAGAGCTGAAAGCAACACAGTGACTTCCATTGAATCAAAAAAGAATCCACACTGAAACCTTTGCTCTGTATCTATTATTAAATTATTAGGTTACATTCACTCATGTCCACTTGGATAAAGAAAGCAATAATCTTTTCAAGTAACGTTTTCATGGCTTTCTCTGTCATACTTCAAATTGTCAGCTTTAATCTATCCAACAATCCCATTTGGCTCAAAAACAAAAAGAATTATATATAGGCAACAGATAAACCATGTACAGCTATACTGCAAATGTCTTTTTTAGGAAGGTATTTGCTATTCCTGAAGTACTGTAACATTCATACTGTTGAAAGGGACAGCATACAAATATATATAGATATAGATATATTTAGATATATATATATAAGGCTATCTCCTTTAGAGAAAGAAAACTTGCACATATAAAGTAGTTAGAAAGAAAGAAGTTACTAAAACTATCTTTGAAAGCAACAGTTTAAACAAGTGAAGTAGCAGTAACAGGAAGCTTTTGAGACCCTCCCTCAGTTACATGCAGTCCTACACACCATACAAATCACAGCACTTGAGCAGACACTTTCACTGGCCATAGATACATACTATCTTCTGAGGTATTCTGTGATGCAAAGGAACAGTTAGTTCCATCTTGCTTACTTCCTTAAGGAGGCTACTGTAGTAAGTAATTAAATCATACTAACTCAATGGCCCAAGAGAGGAAAATTTAGTTCAAACAAAATCGTCCTACTTGTGTAATCAGAAGAGACACAGGGTGGGAAAAGGAGAAAACCAGACAAAGAACAAACATACTACATTTAACATTGGATTACTTTTCATGTATAATATTCATCACCTAGTGAAAGCACATCCTGCATGTTCCAGGCATAAAGAAAACAAATAAAAACAACAGCAACAAAATCGTCAAAAAACCCCAAACTCAACCACCTGGAAACAATCCACTACCATGTATCCCAGGTAAGACACCAAGAAGAACATGCTTCAATGTCAGGTCTAGTCAGACTTTCCCAAAGGAAAGCAAGTATCTGCATTTTCAATAACCCTGGGGGCAAATAATTCAGTACCTGGTATTAGAAAGACCTTAAATTTAGAAATAGGTTAATATGCATCCTAAAATGTAAGTATAAGTAAAAATATCACCTTTCCATCATATCTACTGTTGAAATTGACTTTAATACTGCTTGTGACATAATTAATTTTAAACATCTAATCTTGACACTGTTGCCCCTCTCCCTAAGGAGATGTGAGAGATTGCATTTGTGTGAAACTTATTGTATATATATTCTAGACAGATATGATAAAAAAATCTTTGTGATGAGTTACGCTAAATATGTATTAGCAATGGCAGCATTATTATGTTAATTGGTTAGCTGCCATACCACCTTTTCAACCCAGCTTCTAATCACAGTCGAGAATGTGCCTGCATTTGCAAATACAACTGACCTAGCTCACAGCCACGTCCTAAGTAATTAATTCCTCATCTTCCCCAGCCCGTTTTGGAGGGATTCTTGCCCAGAGCCAGGCTGGCAGCTCTGTGCTCCTTTGCACAGGTTGCCAGAAGGAATGGGGTTCCACGTGCCCCCTTCCAGCTCCACGTACAACTCTCACACATGACCAAGATGCCACAAGCCTGGGGACCGCAGGAGCCACTTTGTAATGCTGGAACAGACAGGTCCACAGTCTTCCTGTCAGGAAAGTAAAAGCTACTGAGCCGTGATCAAACGCTATGCTGCGAGCACACACACACTGCACAGAGCAGTGCTAATGAGCGCTGGGAGGGCTGTCAACCTCAAGTAATAGAGAAGCAGCGAGACTTCACGATGGAAATGCTATTCATGCAGAGAAGGTTTCAGGAACCCAAAGACAAAGGATGATGAGGGAATGGGAGCGAGAAAAAAGCTTTCTGTTTTCAGTAAGAAAAAGAGCAGGCATTCAATAACATTTCACAGTCTGTACTAAACCTTTGGAAAAGATCACCTGCTAATGGTCTCAGGGCTGCTATGAGAGGAAACACCATCAGAGCTTTGGCACAAGCATGGATGCCTCTCATTTTACTGTTATCTACTGTTGGTATTTAAAACTTTGCTTTGCTCACCGAAACAAAGATATTCCACTACTTCTCCAGGCTTATTCAAAAACAAAATACAAAACTCAACACTCATTGTTAATAAAATGTTACTGAAATACACACTGTTTTCTTAGATTCAGTTCTGATAGGCACAGTGTTCTGGAAGTCAGAGCCTTCTTGTCAGTCTGCCAGCATGTAGTAACTCACTATCTTAAGACAATGCTGTCTCTACATCAGGAAGAATACATTACTTTCTGTGAAATCACTGACGGCATCCATATAATTCTGCACCAGACTGTCTCTTTATGACCTGATAAGCTACATAATGCTGTCAGATGCATAAATCTACCAAGGCTGACATCATGTAATATGTTTTATTAAGCCAGCTGACTTAGTTGGTTTAGCTTTGGAAAAGCAAACTCCAGTCACCCGTGGTTTCATGTAGAATAGCAATTAGGATTACTGGAAGAAGAGCTTTTGCGGCCCAAGAACTATTCTAACAGAGGCCTGCAGGAAGATGTCACATTGCATGTATGAACAACAAACACAACCCAGAGATCCTCTAATCTTATGCAGAAAGTTAGATGTTTTCCTTAATGAGTAGAAGAGCCTAACATGCCTCCTCTGTTGTTTGATGTGGTGTTTAAATTTTCATACTTCAGCATCACATACTTTCTAAAAAAGCTTTTAGTATTTCTCCCTTGCAGATACCTGTTTATTTCCCATGATGCTGTCACACACGTTTAGTGTACATCACAATTTCTAAGCGAAAGAAATTGCAAGGGAAACAACACTTCATTTTGAGAACCCTTAGTGTTTTTCTTTTCTAAGTAGGCCTATTAGCTCAAAAATTTAATCTCATTAACTTTAATGACCATGGCAACAAGACTCAGTTCTTGTCCAGATAAAGACACGTTTGTATGCACACTTTACCAAGTGTAATGACTGTGGACTACAGAAAAGTCAGGTTTCCTGATCAA